CCACACTTTAAATTTTAAATTTTGATTGTTTTTCCTGGGCTAGCTATACATGGTAGTATACTCTCTTGTGATGCTGGGCAGTGGCAGTGAGCTGCAGCTCCCAGTCATCTAGACAACCACAAGGGTAAACAACTGATATTTGATATCTTTCTGAAGAATACTATGCCTGTTAAACCATCAATAAATGTCAATACAGTGCCTTCTACCAGTTATTCTTGAGCTTCAACAAAAGAGAGAGAAATTGATGACTATGTCACTGTAGCATTCCCTCGTCTGGCAATTAATTTTAATTCAATGCTTAAAACATTCTTTAGGACCAGTGTGCTTTCAGCTGTGCACGTTAATGGTAAGTATCCACATAACCATTCTGGTTTTTCTTTTTTCGAGTTGGAGTCTCACTCTGTTGCCCAGACTGGAGTGCAGTGGCCGTTCCTGGCCACCGCAGCCTCGACCCGCTGGGCTCTGGCGATCCTTCCACCTCAGCCTTCCAAGTAGCTGGAATTACAGGTGTGTGCTACAACACCCGGCTAATTTTTTGATTTATTGTAGAGATGAGGTCTCACCAAGTTGCCCAGGTGGGTCTCGAACCCATGGGCTCAGGCAATCCACTCACTTCAGCCTCCCAAAGCGTGGGATTACAGGCTGAGCCACCGAGCCCGGCTCACCCTGGTTTTTCACTTTCAGTATAGTATTCAATAAATCATATGAGGCATTTAGCATTTTATTATAAAATAGGCTAATATACATGTGTTAGATGATTTTTGTCCAGTTGTAAGTTAATGTAAGTATTCTGAGTATGTTTAGGGTAAGCTAGGCTAAGCTATGATGTTTGATAGGTTAGGCATATTAAATCCATGTTCAAATTACAATATCTTCAACTTATGATGGGTTTATTGGGATGTAACCCTATCATAAGATGTATCTATATAGGTATTTATCATATTTCTATTTTTCTGGGAGTTTTTGATTGCCTTTTATTCTAAACCATGGGAGAAATATTTTTAATCTGTAGTGTATCCTGAATATTTGCTACTTTCTCACCATTCTGTCTATTGCTGGGATTAATTCTTCTGGAATTCCATTGATCTCCTGTTCTAAGTTGGATCAACTGTTTTTTAGACCTGCTGCACAGTTGTCATCCTGGAATTTCTTGTCATTAGATTTCTGGGAGTTAGTTCCAGGGTTTCCTGTATCCCACATCTTACTTCTTCTAGCTGTTACCCTTGTTTTGCTAGCATGCAAAATACTTTCCTTGGAAGGTTTACTAAGGAAATACACTTTCTGGGTCCGCACTTGTCTGAAAAGCGACTTTATTTTTACCGTGTACTTTGTGGGGCTAAAAACAAAATTCTAATTTTAAAATTGCTTTCCCTCTAGATTGTTGAAGCCCTTATTTCACCACATTCTAGCTTCCAGTTTTGCTAATAGTCTGATAGGCCAGGTGCAGTGGCTCACACTTTTAATCCCAGGGTTTGGGGAGCCTGTTGTAAGAAGACGGCTTGAGCCAGGAGTTTGAGACTAGCCTGGCAACATAGGAAGATCCCATCTCTACAAAAAATATTAGTCCTATCTATTTGGGAGGCAGAAGGATGGCTTGAGGCCCAGAGTTTGAGGTTACAGTGAGCTATGACTGCACCATTACACTCTAGCCTGGGCAACAGAACAAAACCCTGTCTCTAAATTAAAAAAAAAAAAAAGGGTCTAATGAACTACTCACTACTCCGTCTGACTCTCATTGTCTTGGAAGCCAATATATATGCCCCTCTAACACCATTCTTCATTCCTTGTCCCGGGAACATTTAGAATTTTTCTTTCATCTTTTGAGCACTGACAATTTCAAAATAATGTGGCTAGGATAATCTTAGTTTATCTTGCTTGTAACCTGGTGGGCCCTTTAAATAAAAAAATACAGTATCTCTATTATCTCTCATAATTTCTTCTTCATTTTCTCTTTTAACTTCTTCTGATATTATTACTTGGACATAGGACCCTGTGATTTATTCTTCAGCTTTCTTTTCCTTTTATTTGTCTTTTAGCTCTTCTTACTGGGAAATTTCTTACCATTATCTTCTAATCCTTTCACTGAATTTTTGGCACTACAACCATATTTTTAATCTTTAAGAAAACGGACCTTGAACAATTATAATGCTTTAAGAAAGCGATTGGCAGTAGTGGGAAACTGTGGGGAGGGGAGGGGATTAGTAGCTGAGGGAAACTGCTAGGGGAGGGAGGGGCATACCTCATCAACAAGGGTACCTGCATGATCAATGTTTATATACTTAACCCTGAAATCTTTATAATAAAAATTAAAAAAAAAAAATCTTTCCTTGTCTCTGATTCTTTTCCTGAAAAGGGAATTGAAGTTCATCTATTTTCTAAGGGATGAAATTATTCTTAAATCTCCTTGTATTTCCTGCATAGACTTAAAGGTGTTGTGCTTTAAAAAAAAAAGTTTTATAACCTCTTCTATTCCCTAAATCATTTGTTTCCTTATAAGTCAGTTATTCTGTTGGTTTATTTTGGTCTTTCTTTTCATGCACCACATTTTCCTCAATCTTTGGGTTTCCTTGGTTGTCCACTCACATTTCAAAATTAGGTAAAAGAACTGATTAAAACATCTGCAGGCCAGGCGCAGTGGCTCTGCCTGTAATCCCAGCACTTTGGGAGGCTGAGGCAAGAGGATTGCCTGAGCCCGGGGGTTCGAGACCAGCCTGGGCAACTTGGTGAGACTTCATCTCTACAATAAAATCACAAAAACTAGCCTGGCATAGTGGAATGCATCTGTAGTTACAGCAACTTGGAAAGCTGAGGTGGAAGGATCACCTGAGCCCAGCAGGTCAACGTTGCAGTGGCTGTGAGTGTGCCACTGCATTCCAGAGCCTGGGCGACAAAGAGCGAGGCTCTAACTCAAAAAAAAAAATCATGGATGTGTTCGGGTGCCTGGTGAAAGAGAAAGCTAGCTCTTATGTTGGCAACTTCAAATGAGAGAAGCAGCAAGGATTTTCTCTGGGGAACCAGCCCACTCTCACCATCACAAGCAGTTTATTTAACTCTTTATGGAAGATGCCAAGCTGCTGCTATTCTGCACGCCTGAAGCATGTAGAGGTGGGGACAAGAGCGAAAAGTCAACCCTTAACTTGTCTACATACCAACCTTCATATAACACTGACCCTCCCTGACTTTCAGCCCCACATCTCATGCTTGCTGTCTTAGTAACACAAAGCTTCTCCATCCCATGGGTAAACAGGCACCTAGCCCTTCATTGTATAGTTCAAGTTCACTCACTAATACTCTTCCATCTTCTTCACTCACTCCAGCAAATTACTGGAATCTCTCATGAGTTGATGCCCTTTCTCCCACAGTGTCCTTCTCCTTATTCTAATAATCACTGCAGCGGGCTCTAGAAAGGCATAGGCATAAGCATGTGTGCTTGGTCAGCTATCTTGAACCAGGTGTGACCAAGAACAGCATTTTGATACTAATCTGTCCCTGTATGTCTGGCTTTGATCAAGTTGCCTAAATCTAAAAATGTCAGTGAAGCAGTCTAAGACACTCTTCCACTACAGAAGGTACACTTCTGTGCAACTGATAGGTTTGCCAGAATGGGAGTTGGATTCATCGTGGAAAGTAGGCCCAGGCTAGCAAGACACTGAACATAATGAATGTCTACCTCACTGGGTCCATTCAGAGAATGACAGGCACAGAGAACCCTGAAATGATTCCCAGGACCCCAGGTTTGGATCACTTCCATCACAAGCATGGGTAAATTTATCAGGCTAGCAAGATGTCACCTTAGAAAGCAAAGTAATACTAGAACTGGAGACTAATTATTTAGAGGTTATAAATTTATGATTTATTGAGTCCCAGGCTGACCTCTTCCCCCCGCTTCACTAGGGGACATACACTTCAACTTCTCAGTCAAAGCAGAAGTCATCAGCTTCCTGCCCCGCCCCTTCATCTTCTTTTCCTCTTCTCCTTGCCTTCTTCATGCCTCATCATAAGGCCAGTCCCTCCATTCTGCCCATCCACTTAGACATCTATGCCTCCCTATATTTTCTCTTACTGCCCAAGGAACTGGTCTAGCCAACACACAGTTTTTCCTGACCTTCCCCAGGGTCCTGGATCCCGGTGATCTGATGTTGGGTTTTAAGAAAAAATTTGAACAAATTTGGGATTGTGAATTTCTTGCATATTTCCTGCATGGTACTCAGCACTGCACACTTCACAGACAGCTTGGGGCAAATAGGCCAGTGCTGTACACAGAATCAGCTCATAGGTGCACTCCCACCTTGGATGGCCTGCACCCAACATCACTCGAAACCTTCTCCACATCCCAGAATCTGATAAGCCTGGGACAAGATGGACCACCCCCCTATACTTGCTGTGGTGCTCTGGCTTTTAGGGACCCTTGAGTTGGGCATTCTTTTTTGGAGCACAGTGGTGCAATCATGGCTCACTGCAGCCTCCACCTCCTGGGCTCAGGTGATCCTTCTACTATAGCCTCCCAAATAGCTGGGACCACTGGCACTCAACACCTTGCCCAGGATAATTTATTTTTATTTTTTGTAGAGATGAGGTTTTGCTATGTTGCCTAGGCTTGGGTTAGGCATTCTTTAACTCAATCACTAATTTAGCAAGCTCACTGCCCCACCAATGAAACATTCATTGAGCACTTACTATGCACCAGTCTAAGCTCTGGAAACAGTCTAGGAACAAGCTCAGGCGTCAGGTGGCCAGTTTATGACCTCATGATTATAACTTTCTAACAGCTTAAGGATTGTCTGAATGTTTTAAAATCTCACAGTAGTTAGGGGAAACCCCAAAGATCATTCATTTCATTATTTTGCAGATTAGGAAAGGGTGCCCAGAAAGTGGGTGTGCCCCAGTTGTGGCCTCCCGGGTAGCCAGACCCACAGCTCTCTAGACTTATGGACGATTATCTCTGCTGTATGCTCCTGCTTGCTACCTAGGGTCCCAGGTAAGAGTTTGAAGGTTCTGACCTGATTCTTTTGGGCAATCTTTTGTCCCTTTTTCCAGCGGAGAACTGGTGTCAGAGCTGGCAGTTCCCTGTCCTCCTTTCCAGTCACATGCTCGCCGAGGCTGTAGGCTGCTTCAAACACGATTGGACTGATGACATCCTGCACCCTTCGCTGAAACAATAAACAAATGCTACATTAACTACTAATCCCAGCTGACAGTTGCAGAGCATTTCACAGTTTACAAAGCCCTTCCACATGAACTGCCTCATGTGATCATCACAACCACCCTTGTGAGGTAAGAATTTAGTACTTCCATGTTTCAGATGAGGTAACTGAGGCCTAGGGCAGGCAGTATCTTGTCCAAGGTCACTCTGCTGATGAGTGGGGCTTTTCTTCTCTATCTTGCACAGTGCTAAATCAACTTCTCTAAGCATATGGAAGGCATTACTTGACTCATCTTGCAAATATTCTTAGAAGCCAGCCGACAGGCGGGAGAGCATCTGCATTCACCCTGCTAACCCTTTGCATTCATCGTGCTTGGATGATCAAAGCTCTTTTGCATTGAGTTAAAGATGGAGTTTGCATTAGGGCAGGGACCCAAAGACACTGAGGGCCCAGTATCATCCCAGAGTTCATCAACAGAGCCTGAGATGAAAGTCTGATTTCTGGTCCTGTGTTCTTTACTTTGGAACCCAGGAGAAATGGTAGACCAGGGGAATGGTAGATTGACAGTTATGACAGGAGGGAAAGGGAGACAGCAAATACACCCTGGACACCTACATGATCCCAGGCCCTACACCAGGTGTTCTAGGAGAATGAGCAACACATCCACACCCCATAAGCAAAGGCTTGTTATCCTCCTTTGTACAGAGAAGGTAAGGAAGGTGTGAGGTTCAGTTCCCCAGGGAATGCAGCTGGTAAGGATGCCCAGTCACAACTGTTCACCCCGGAGGGACCCTTTGGCCCTTCAGCACATAGTGTCACTGCCTCCTGGGAACTCTGGGCCCCCAAAATCTTGCAAGTTAGAACTAGAGGCAGAGATAAAGCTCATAGGTAGCCCTGCATTCTGAACACGCATGCTTTACAGGGAGGGCTGCTCCAGGGGCTTCCCAGTAGAACAGGGCTAATCTGAGAAGTGGCACAGGAAGGTGACACAGACAGCCAAGTCCCTGGGGAGAGACAGGAGTGTGGGGGCAACAGGGCAGTGGGAGTGGCCCTGTCGGTCAGTGAGAAGTGAAGCTGGGTGGGCAGACAGAGGCCAACCTCAGGGCCATGAGCACAGAGCTGAGGACTTCATACTATTCTGTATGTGAAGCTTGGGGCAGAGTACTGCTGTGTCCAAGGTGGTAGAAAGTTCTACAAGCCCCAAGAAGCACACAGGAAGGATTTTGCTTCCATTCCCTCTCAACACCCGATCCCCCTTCCCAGAGACAGATATGCCTGCCAGGTCTCTTAGGTCTCTATGAAATCAAAGCACATAGAGCAAGAGGCAGCCCATCCCATGCTGCACTTTGCTTTCCTCATTTAGCGTGTATTTTCGGGATGATCCATGTCAGGACCACCTCCCTTTTAATGACACATGGCATGTCATCGTGTGGATGCCCTCACTGAGCAATGTCGGGGCTCGAAGCTATTTTAACAAGTGAAGGGTGGCAGCCCATCCACAAACTGTAGCAGCATTCTCCAAGATGGGTCTTGTGAACCTCTGTTCCCTGGGGATGGGGTAGATAAAAGAGTCTGCAATTAAATAAGTCAGGGAGACACCAAGTTAAGTAGAATCAAAGAAGATCTTATCCTGTCTTTGTTTCTGTTTTAATGCTATCGCCTTGGAGAAGCCGGTGGCAGTGGTCTCAAGTTTACAGAGCCATAGAACCCTGTGCTTCCTTGGGGCTCCCCGGGGCATGGGTCGTGAACAGAACATACTCAGGGACCCTGGAGGGCAGGTCAGAAATCTCTTGCACAGCCCAGGAGAGGAGAGGGTGAGCCGAGGTGGGGTGGCGTGGAAGGGGGAGGCAGATATGGCAGCTGAGCTGAGAGGCACAGGGGACCGGGCAAAGGGACACAGATGATGATGGGGGTGGAAGCCTGAGTGACTGACAGATGATTTATATTTGTGTTCAGAAAAATTCAGCTGGGAATAGAATCAATCGTTCAGCATAAATAAAATACAGGCCCTCTCCAGGGGAGGGATAGGGGAGGGATGGGGGAGGCTTTGGACAAACCATTTCCAGAAAATCCTCTTGAATTTCAGATTTTAGGAACAGACCTTTGATACCCACGTCCTTTTGGGGCGCAAAGCACACACCTGGGATCCAGATCCTCCCAGCCTACTGACTCTCTAACCAGAACTTAAAGACTTTCATGAATGCAATCTTAATGTGTTGACAAATGCATTCTTAGTGTTTCTTTAAGGTTGACTAGCTTAAGGTTTTGCATTTAAATCCTTCATGCTGAAATAAGTCAGTTGTTATGTTGTCACTCTTAGGGGAGAAGGTGAAGATGGGGGTGTGGAGGCAGAAGTAACTTAACATTTCCCGCATACCAAATGTGTTCCAGAGACTGGGCCAAGCTTTTCACAGACATTACCTTACTTAATCCTCACAACACCTGAGTTGGCTGGCCAATTACTGCCCCCATTTTATAGACAAGGGAACAGAGGCGCAGGAGTTCTAACAAACTGCTCTCCATCCCAAAGCTAGCAAGTGGAACCAGAAGCAAAATGACATAAAGTGCTATTTAAAAACCATCCCAACTGCTTAGGTTCTGGCATCTTCCTTAAAAATTGTATGAACCTGTTTTAATTAAGACGTTTGAAAAGCAGCTTCTTATTACCTGCCCCAATAGCTCTGAGGCTTGGGTGGAGGCAGGCGAGGTGCAACGAAACAGGCCAGCATCCCCGAGTGACAGCTCCTCCTTCCCACACTGTGCTTGTCTTATCTGAGCTACAAAGGAAAAGTAGCAGAATCATTTAGCGGTTTCCTTTTCATTTGTGGAAGCACAGCTTCCCAGAGCTCAGTGCTCCATAGGGCAGAGAAGGAGGCTGAGGGCACTGGCACATTTTACTGCTTTTTAAAAAAATTACCCCTACAAACCAAGGCTTCCAAAGTTGAAGTTTCTAAAGTTCTAAAGCTTCTAATAAAGTTTCTTATTCTGACAGACTGAAAGGCAGGGATCTACCTTTTCCTGCTAAATATCTACAGTGTTCTTTGAACATGAAGGAGCTTCCCCCTGTAGGAGAACACCCAGACTGGTGGCAGATTTCACAGCAGCTGAGGTTTTATGGGGAACTTAACATATGTTCCATTTGAAATTTATTGGGTGCTTACTTTATGCCAGGCAATGTGCGGGGCCCCAGGGAAACTGACATGAAAGACCCTCGGGGAATAATTAGTCTTAAGGGAAACAGGCAAGCAATGACAATGCACTACAACATATACTAGGACAGAAGAGGCTATGGGGGTACCAAGGAAGACATCTGATTCAGGCTGAGGACTAGCAGGCTTCCCAGACTAGATGACCTTGGGCTGAGTCAAAAGACAGAAGGACATTAGCCAGAAAGCAGGTGCGAGGCATGGCTGGGATAGCCATGTGGAGGGGGAAGGGAGTGTCCAGTGAACTATGCTGATTCCCAAGGGTGGGAAGTCAAGTTGGTGGGGAGGAGCAGGGATAGAGAAGGCTCATGCAGAAACCAGATCTCAGAAGGGCTTGCAGGTTGAGTCAACTTCATCCTAAAAGCTAGGGAGAGCTGGGGGGCGAGGAGTAACGATGCTAGAGGCTATGATATTAAAAAATTCCTCTTGCTGCTTGGATTGATAGGGGCAAGGCAGCCAGCATGGAGGCAAGTGAGACTCTGTTTTAGAAAGATCCCTCTAGCTGTAGAATGGAAATGGATTGATGGGTGTTGAACTTGGGAGAAGCTGGCTAGGTGGGAGGCTGCCACAGGAGTCTGAGGGAAAGACAGTAAGGGCCTGCACCAGGACCCAGCAGTGGCGATGGAGAAAAGGAGATCCTATCTACCTGGCCAAAGGAAGGTATATGCATTACTATGTGGGAGAAATTCCAGGTGACTTGATTCCCACACTCACTCTATAACCCTATGTAAGCTAGACCTGAGCACCTTGGCACCCATCCAGCCACATGACTTATAAACCTATCTCATCAGATTTCTGGGAAGATGGCGGTGTAGTCAGTCAGACTGTACGAGTCTCTCTGTGTGTGAGTGATTGTATGGACAATTCTGCATGTGTTTCTGTGAGTAAGTGGGAGTGTGAGAGGCAGACTGAGTGGGGACTCGAAAGCAAGTAGCCAGGGGTCTCCTGATGAAGCCGCTGATGCTGCAGCTGCTTTGCTTGGACCCTAGTGCTTCCTGAAACATAGAAGCTGAGTGTCATTTTCTAAAATCAGCACAGCTTTTCCAAGGAACTGCTGGAGCAATAGTGATTGCTGACCCCACCACCACAGCACCAAGCTGAACACTGGCAGTGAGGGCTGCAGAGGGAGCACAGCGAGGGAACCTGAGGCAGAGTCCCAAGGAAGCAACGGAAAGAGGCCACCCTGAGCCTAAACTGGGTTCCAGAGCCTTGCCACGAGGTTCCGAGATCCAGAGACTGTGTTAACTGCTAGGGAAAGAGCTATCAATCCTATCTCCGGCAGGAACAACAGCTGGCAGAGAAATAGTAGACAGGAACAACAGCTGGCAGAGAAACAGTAGACACTCTAATGCCTAAAGAAGTACTCTAGGGTGGCCTCTGTGAAATAGCAGAACTGCATCTTGAGAGGAGGCACAGATCTCTGTGTTGCATTGGGGCTGCTCTTTGGGACCTCAGAAGTACACAAGCCCTGGTGGGTAACAGCAGATGCGGAATCCCAGACCATCCATCCTCTGCCCTGAGCCAGCTGCTGGGCAATAGGTACAGACAGTGGAACTGACTGAGAAGGAGGCTGGTGAGTGCCCAGCTGACTCCCTCCCACCCTGAGCAACAAGCCAGAGATTGGGAAGGCAGGGCAGAAACAGGTGGCCCCATTCCCCTAACGTGAAATGGATTCCCTGGGAGCAGTGACCACACTGGGAGAGGAAAGAAAGGGGTGAGATCCAGAAAGATACTGTGTCAAGTTATTTCAGCTCCCTTCCCTCACATGGGTGTGATCCAGCCACCAACTGGAGGCAATAGGGGGTGTAGATTCTAACATCTTAAGTTCCAGCAGTGAAGAGGGAACCCTCAGTAACAGACCTGCAGTCGCAGAACCTATCACAAGAGGGAGCCCCCCTCTCAAAGAGACATACTAAAGCTGAGAACTCTTTATCAATGGTTTTTTTTTGGGGGGGGGGGAATGGTTTGTTTGTTTACCTTGTTCGGTTGCTTTGTTTGTTGATTGGTTTTCTCTTTTCTTTCCTCCTACTTTTCTCTTAGTTCTCTCTGTGTGTTTCTTTTTCTTTTTTCTTCTTTCTCTCTCTCCTTTCCCTTTTTTCTCTCCTTCTTCCCTCTTTTTTTCCCTCTTATACACTGTTTTGTACTCAGAGGCATGCAAGCATACCCTTGTAAGGTTATATTGTGTCAAGATGGAGGGCAAGTCCCACCTGGCCTGTTCACCAGATAGCAAACATTATGACCTGCCAATAGGTTCCAAATCCTTGCAGTCCCTCCCCCATTCTTTAGTAAGTGCTCAAAATTGTATAGAGACAGCACAACGCCCCAACCCCAGCCCTACTTAATAAGTGAACCAACCTAGAGCTCTGAATCAAGTAAGGACAAGAGGTAGAACAAATATCAGAAGTGACTGCTTCTCCGTTTTCCACTGAGCATGGAATTAAAGAGAAAGATAACAGAACTGCTACAAATGAAGGAATACCAATGAAACGCCACTGGTAACCATCAAAACCCCAGCAAAGAGTCAGTGCTAGAAAGAACAGCTACTGGGGCACAAACAATGGCTATCTCTGAGAACAGTACCCAGAAGGTACTTATGGAGATCAGAAAATCATTGGATAGAATGAATAAAAATCAAGGGCTAAAACTAAATAAAACTGCAATGGAGCTGGATAGACTCAAGAAAGTATACTTAGAAATAACAGAAAAGGCCAGGTATGGTGGCTCAAGCCTGTAATCCCAGAACTTTGGGAGGCTGAGGCAAGAGGGATTACCTGAGCCTGTAGGTTTGAGACCAGCCTGAGCAACAAGGTGAGACCTCGTCACCACAATAAAAAAATCAAAAAATTAGCCAGGCGTGGTAGCACATGCCTGTAGTTCCAGCTACTTGGAAGGCTGAGGCAGAAGGATGGTTAGAGCCCAGCAGGTTGATGCTGGGGTGGCCATGAGTGTGCCATTGCACTCCAACCTTGGTGACAGAGTAAGAGTCCAACTCAAAAAAAATTTGACAGAAATAGAGAATTCCATCCAAGAAATAAATAACAAACTGACAAACATGGGAAGCAGAATTGACCAAGCAAACAGAAAGAATCTCAGAGCTAGAAGATCAAAATATGAAGTTAACCCAATCTACTAAAAATATAGAAAAAAACTTAAGAAGAGAGAAGAAACTCTCCAAGAGATGTGCAATTTTATCAAGAAACCAAACTTACAACTGATCAGAATACCTGAAATAGAAAGAGAAGTGGAAAACACCCTAAAATAAGCATTCCATGAGGTCATTCAAGAAAACTTCCCTAATCTAGCCAGAGAGATGACTATACAAGCGCAAGAGATTCAGAGAACACCTGCAAGACATCTTATGAGTAGACCAACCCCTTGAAACATAGTAATTCACTTACACGAAGTATATAAAAGAAAAAATCCTAAAGGCAGCATGGGAAAAAGGTCAAACTACCTATCAGGGAAGACCAACCATAATTGCTGGAGACTTATCTTCAGAAACACTCCAGGCCAGAAGGAATCAGACCCCAATCTTTAACGTCTTCAAAGATCAACAACTTCAACCAGGAATTTCCTACCCAGCCAAGCTAAGCTTCAGTCCTGATGGAGTATTAAAATCTTTCCCAGACATCCAATCCCTAAGATAATATGCTGCTTCCAGACCAGTTCACAGGAGACACTTAAAAAGGTGCTGTGCACAGAATAAAAAAGAAACAAAAGAAAGACTATATACTTCACAAGATCACAAACACTGAAGCAGCAGAACACACAGCATACCTGCAAAAATGAAAAAAACACACATATATGAACACAAAAGCTAAACAAAAACAAAACAGTTTTATAAGAGCATTATGACAAGGAAAACTCTCACATTTCAATAATCAGTCCAAATGTGAATGGACTAAAATACATCACCAAAAAGACATAGAATGGCAAACTGGATTAAACACACACACACACACACACAAAACCCAGTAATTTGTTGCCTCCAGGAAACTCATCTCACCATAAAGGATGCCCACACACTCAAAATTAGAGGATGGAAAACAAACTTTCAGATGAATGGATCACAAAAGAGGGCAGAAATTGTTATCTTAAGATCAGACCAAAAACAATTTAAGCTATCAAAAATTTTAAAAGATACAAAAGGACACTACATAATGATAAAACGTTCAACCCATCAACAAGAAGTAGTCACCCTAAATATATATGCACCCAACACATGAGCACCAGTTTTTATAAAGCAGCTACTAAGTAAACTAAAAAAGATATTGACTCTAACACTATCATAGCTGGGGACTTAAATACCCCACTAACAACCCTGGATAGATCATCAAGGCAAAAAATCAACAAAGAGATCTGGAACCTCAACTTGATGCTTGACCAAATTGACTTAATAGATACCTACAGAACATTCCACTCAACAACCACAGAATATACCTTCTACTTATCACCACGTGGAACATACTCCAAGATTGACCACATCCTTGACCATAAATCAAGCATAAACAAATTTCACAAGATGGAAACACTGCATGTACCTTCTCAGACCACAGTGGAATAAAAATAAA